AGGAAATATAGAATGCGGAACACACACAGGATTATTCGCTTAAAGTGAGAATTCAAAGTTAATTTCAAATTTTATTAAGACACGGAGGCTCCTATTATGCTGCACTCTTTCTTTATTTCCCTCAGCAGCAAAGAAAAAAACTTTATAAACATAACCAATGATAACATTAACAGTCTCAGGTGTATTCTTCCCAGTAACAGGGACAGCCAATCAGGATCCACTTCTCCAGCATAATAGGCTCTGTCAACCAATCCTGTTCCTCTTTCTTTGCTGCTCCCTCAGTTAAGTATATCTGATCCCTCAGGCTCCTTAACTGTGGGATTACTTTATATTATATTGTAATATATATTATATTGTATTATAGTATATTGTATTATATTATAGTATATTATAGTAGTATATTATTATATTATTGTTACATTACACTGTTACATTCTTTTATTTGATGTCTTAATTGATTTTATTAGCTTTGTCTTTATTACCTAACTTGACTTTTCATGACCTCTGCGCCCCTTTAAGGCCCCCCCGCTCCAGCCGGTCGCCTCCCGGAACCTAATTTACAGGGTTCGGGGACGTCGGCTGGAGCCGCATCCGGCGCTTTGCGCCCCCCCCCGCCTTTTCACTTCTTCACGCCATGACCGGCCGCCACCCACAGAGCTCACTGAGCTCGGATGCCGGCGAGCATAGCTTACCAATTTTCTTCTCCTCAGTACCGCTCGCGGTGGCCATTTTTCTTGCTTCCCGCGCTCGGCATGTAGTTCCACCCCCAACTACCGGACCTCGGAGTTGGGTTAAAGCTACAGTGGCGGTCAGACGGCTCCTTGCCCCCTCCTTACCCTTTCTTTTGTTGCTGTAATTGTTTTTGTGAGTACTTTGTTTTCTCTCATAAAGGTATATTACCCCTTTTCTCTTTGGGTTAATCAACCCATTTTAGGTCAGCTCAGTACACTTATTTGTGGTGCCAGTGTTATACACCCAATATGCCTGGTGACAAAGATATACCCTTCCCTCCTGGGTCTCTTATCACCAATTTAGGGTCTGTTAAAACACCCACAGGGGTACCTGAGATTGGGGCGACTATCCCCGCTGATTTTGATCCTACTGCTGATATGCAGTACATGATTGACAACACCATGTCTCATGTTGTGACTAAGGCCCTCACATCAGCCATGGGGCTGATGTCTGAATCTATCTCACAGACTATTACACATGCTCTACTTGGGGCACAGAAATCGGCCCAGCCGATCACTACCCAGGCTTTGCCTGCAATAGCCCCTTCACAACCTCACACTGGCCGCAAGGCCACTGCAAAAACAAAACACTCTTCAATCTCACAGATGGACAGCTACACACCTGTCACAGATGGCGCGTCTAATATACCACCGCGCAAAAGAGCCACTAGCCGGGCAAAATCGGCTAGGTTATGGAAACGGGCAAAAGCCCAACTAGAATCTGAGTCAGATCTCAGCGAGATTGAAGAGGAGACCGGTATGGATTCGGAGGATCCATCAGATCCAGAGTCAGATGGTGTGGTCGAAGACCATGACCCCAGAGAGCATATTACGCCTCCATCTGAATCGTATGACATGGAGCTTAAGGTCCCAGACGATGCAAACAGATTAGTTGACCCCTATGGGGAACCTATGTTCGACCCCGATGACCTGCGTCATCCAAGGTCAGCGGACTGGTCCTCTTCGGCCCATGTGGCCCAATACGTTGCATCGCGGACTCGCAAACCTTTAAATAAGGCTACACGTAACAAGCTGCGGGCAGAATGCCCACGTCCCAGTGTCCCTGACGAGGCCTGCAGAACACCTGCAGTTGACCCAAAAATCATTCAATTCCTGGGCAAGACTGGCTTGAAGCCTAATAAGGGCCTTGATTTCTCTCTGCGCAATTGCCAGGACAAGATATTAGATATATTGGGCCCGGCAACACAAATTTTTGATATGGTCGAAAGCGACCAAGAGTTAGATCGTTCCGCCATAAGTGGTTGGATACAAAGGGTGATTTGTCTGATTGGCAATGCCAACTGTGCGATGGCCACGGAGCGTCGCAAAGCGATTTTATTAAAGATAGAACCCAAACTGGTGAACATGGTTATAACCGAACCGGGCACCCAGGCCCGTGGTCTTCTGTTCGGAGACAATTTTGTCAAGGAGCTTGGCTCCTTTGTACATACTTTCACTGCCCTAGACAAGGCGCAATCGAACATGCGCAAGATTTTCCAACCTAAGGTTTTTGGTGGGGCCGGAAGAGCCAGGAGCCGTCTGTCCGGCCGTCTTAATAGGGGTTCATTCCGACAGAGCCGAGGCTCCTACAATGGACACGCCTCCTTCATGGAGCACCGCAACACCCCGGCCTTCTTCCCACAACGTGGGCGGCCATGGGTTGCTCGTGGAGCACGTGGCACCCGCCCAAGCAGACGACCTTATGGTAAGTCCTCTCATATTTCCTTCTTCCCTATGGGCAGTGGGGGGCAGACTCCGACATTTTTTCCATGCATGGTCACACATCTCATCAGATGCCTGGGTATTGAACACGGTAAGAGGGTACACCTTAGAGTTCATATCCCTCCCGGTGCAACTCTCCCCACCACGGGGAATGCTGTTTTCCCACCAAGACGCCTCCCTTGTAACCAAGGAGGTTTTGGAATTGGCACACAAACGGGCCATCTTAGAGATCCCTATGACTACCCCAGGGTACGTGAGCAACCTATTCTTAGTTGCCAAAAAAGGCAGCGGCGTTCGCCCAGTGATCAACTTGAAACAACTCAACACTTTTGTTGCCTACAACCATTTCCAAATGGAGGGCATACACTGCCTCCGAGATCTTCTCCAGCCATTGGACTGGATGGTCAAGTTGGACCTGCAGGACGCCTATCTCACGATACCAATCGCACGTCACCACCAAGACTTCCTACAATTCATATGGCAAGGAAGGAAATGGTGATTCACCTGTCTCCCGTTCGGACTGTCCTCAGCCCCATGGTGCTTCACCAAACTCATGAAGCCCGTGGTGGCTCTACTTCGAAGTCGAGGGGTTCGTCTCATAATCTACTTGGACGACATCCTCATCATGGGTCGTTCCAACCACATTCTCGAGACCCATCTGGCATGGACTCAGAATCTTTTGCATAATTTGGGTTTCCTTATCAATTGGAAAAAATCCATCCTGACCCCTACACGGCACATAGAGTTTTTGGGCCTCGTAGTGGACTCTACTCTACAGACCCTACACTTACCGGCGGCGAAATTGACCACCATAAAGAAGGAGATCAGACGCACTCTGACGACCCCCCTGATCTCCCTGAAACAATTGGCGAGAGTGATCGGCCTCTTGGCGGCCTCCATACAGGCCATCTTCCCGGGCCCTCTACATTATCGAGCGCTACAGCGCCTGCAAGCCTCCCATTTGAGAGACGGGACCTCATATACGGACATGATCGCTCTGGACACAGAAGCAAAAACAGAACTCAGATGGTGGCTCTCCCATATGGACGCTTGGAATGGCCGAGCCATTTTCGGCACCGAACCAGACATAATAGAATCCGATGCGAGCTTGCACGGTTGGGGCGCACGCTGTGGCAATGTCTCTACCGGTGGCAGATGGTCCGAAGTGGAATCGACACTTCACATCAATTGCCTAGAACTCCTAGCCGGCTCTTTTGCAATCCGCAGTTTCTCACCGACTCAAGCCCGGTGTGCCATCCTTTTAAGGATGGACAATGTATCAGCAGTCCGTTATATAAATCACTTGGGTGGCACGAAATCGAAGGTCCTGGCGAATTTGGCACGAGACTTTTGGCAGTTTTGCCTGGCACAAGGCATTTCAGTCACAGCGGAATACCTTCCGGGCCTCTACAATACCGCGGCGGATTGGTACTCAAGGCACCTCAAAGATTCCAGCGACTGGCACCTGGAACCCAGGGTCTTCCAAGACATCCAGTCTCTATGGGGCCCTCTGGACAAGGACTTGTTCGCCTCCCGTTTGAACAATCAACTCCCCAGATTTTTCAGTTGGAAACCAGAACCGGCAGCACTGGCAACAGATGCCTTTACCCAGGACTGGTCCTCCACAAGGAACTACGCGTTTCCTCCCTTTGCATTGATTCCCCGCTGCCTACTACAACTGCGGCGACAGACGGGAACGGCAGTGCTCGTGGCGCCATTATGGCCGTCACAACCGTGGTTTCCTTCCCTGTTGGAGATGGCGATAGACATACCCCGCACTCTCCCACATTCCGACTACCTACTTCGGGACCCGGACGGGTCCCCCCATCCCTTGATTCAACAAGAGTTGCTACACCTCACGGCGTGGCTGATTAACGGGAGCCCTACTCAATCGAAGGAATTTCGGAATCGACTCTCCGACTTCTCGAGAGCGCATGGGCACCCGGCACTAGACAAGCTTATAAATTTGCTTGGCGCAAATGGTGCATGGAATGGAACTTGGATCCCATATCGGCTCCTCTGACTTCGACCCTGCAATTCTTAACCTCCTTATTTGAAAGCGGCAAAGCATATCGCACGGTGAACCTCTACAGATCGGCCATTTCTACCGCACACCAGGGCATCGATGGCGCACCGATAGGACGCCACCCACTAGTATGCTGACTCCTACGCGGCATTAGATTCGCAAGGCCTCCGCTGCCACGCTATTCCGTACTGTGGGACATCTCCATCATCCTCCGCTTCCTCGAATCTTGGCCTGATAACGCAACACTATCTCTGAAACAACTGTCGGCGAAACTGGCCATGCTCCTATGTCTCATATCCTGCAAATGGGTCTCAGACGTTAGAGCCTTAGACGTCACCGCACGATCATACACTCCAGAAGGGGTCACTTTCGACATATCACGGAGAACAAAAAGCTCAACAAAGAGGGTGACATATCCAGCTTTTCCTGACAAACCTCTCTTGTGTCCGGTTAAATGCCTACAAACCTATGAACTTCGCACAAGGACGTTGCAGGACCCATCTAAACATGAACTCTTCATCTCCTTCCAGAAACCACACCTACCAGTGTCTACCACGACCCTGGCTCGCTGGGTCAAATGGATCATGGCTACGGCAGGCATAGACACCTCCATATTTTCACCACACTCCATACGAGGAGCAATGGCTTCCAAAGCCTCTTCGATGGGTTGTCGCCTGGAAGACATTCTAAAAGCAGCCGACTGGTCTTCAGAATCTACCTTCCGTGATTTTTACTTCAAACCTATACACCACTTTGCGGGAACGGTAGTTTCTCAGCTTTCAACCAGCATAATAGGAGCCTCCGTGTCTTAATAAAATTCACGGATTTTACTATTACCATGACGTAAAGTCATGATTTTATTAATGACACGGAAGCGAGTATTATCCCTCCCTCCCACCCGACGACGGTGGAAGGATAGACGGAAGTTGGGTAAGTTGACCTACGGTAAGTCATTTACCATGTATATTTGTTACAGTTGTAATCGCCAGATTGTTACATTACAGTTATACTTAGATAAAGGTAAGTCTTAGCTACGATCACTAATTGCCTATCTGGTCACCAACATTTATAGGTTACACAACAATATTCCCTTGGATACAACACTGACCAAACTATCCTGAATACCTATGAATATGCATACACTCAGTTTTATGCTAAGATATTACCATATTTTTCCTCTTTTACAGCCTAATTTATCCCACATCTCCTGGGAAAACCATGTTCTATGCAGTTCAACGTTTGGTTGGATAATTTTACTTCTTCGGGATCGCAAATAAAGAGGAACAGGATTGGTTGACAGAGCCTATTATGCTGGAGAAGTGGATTCTGATTGGCTGTCCCTGTTACTGGGAAGAATACACCTGAGACTGTTAATGTTATCATTGGTTATGTTTATAAAGTTTTTTTCTTTGCTGCTGAGGGAAATAAAGAAAGAGTGCAGCATAATACTCGCCTCCGTGTCATTAATAAAATCATGACTTTACGTCATGGTAATAGTAAAATCCGTGAATTTAAGGCCAAAGTAGCCAAATTGGAAGAACAGCTGACTTAGGCTATTATTCCAGTTTATGGTATGGGGCTTTTCTAGTGAGTGTGCAGTAATGGCTGCCCAGTTTTAAAAAAAAATGAAGGTATGCCACTTCCTAGGGCCTGGTATTCAGGGGCACAGGGAGGTTTAAAACCTCCCTTATAGTAATGAGGGAACGTTATTGAGCCCCATAGGGTTTTTTTTATTTATTTATTTTAAGCATCACATAGATAACCCTCACATTGCTGAGGGTTTTTAAACTATTTGCCAGGAACCAGTTAACTCTGCTAACAGGCAAATAGTATTTAAAATTATTCACTTGCAAAAATAATGCATGCAGGTGATTGCTGCAGATTCATTAGGCCCAAATGAAGTCCGACCGTATTTGGCTATGGTAAATATGAGAATTGCCAAAGATGACAAAAAATGTGTCATACAAAATGTCCCCACCCCACAGCTGTAAATTTATAGTGTGCCAGTAATACACCAACCCACTTCAGTAATCGTATGTAGTTCACTAAAGCAGAGAATGATTGGCTACAATACTCAATTATTGTATTGTACAATATGGA